AAAAAAAAATATAAATTAAACAGAAAATAAAAACAGAAATTTATTAAAGCATTAAGAAATAAAATTATATACCGATTAGTAGCCATTAGAACTTTTATGTTCCCTCGTGGATCAAATCCATCTAATTGATTAATTAATTCCAACATTGTTCTCTGCACTTCATTATCACCTCCAGCACCATCATCATAACGTGCACCTGGAAAAAAGAAGGTTAGAACAAATAAAATAATGTTATTCGAATTGAACATCACCACAACAAAGAATATCCACCTCCGATAGCATCGACTTCATCAAAGAAAATAATGCAGGCTTTTTTTGTACGCGCCATCTCAAATAATTCACGAACCATACGTGCACCTTCGCCAACGTATCTGATGATCGAAATTACAAAAAGGTGTGAATGAGTTCAAAAAAAAAAAGTTAAGATGGAGGTAAATAAACCATACTTCTGCACAAGTTCGGAACCAATAACACGAATGAATGTCGCATCAGTACGGTTTGCAACTGCGCGAGCACAAAGTGTTTTCCCGGTTCCCGGAGGTCCATATAGCAAAACACCTTTGGGAGGATCGATACCGAGACTGACAAATCTTTCGGGCTATAGTATGATTACACGTTTTACGATGGATTTGCAGTATAATTCAAGAAAAAAAAATAGTTGATCAGGTGCTGACCTGAAGTAATGGTAATTCGACAACTTCTCTGAGTTTTTCGATTTGCTCTTTACATCCACCAACATCACTATAAGTGACATCGGGTTTTTCTTCCACCTGCATCATCGTTACTGAGGGATCGATTTTTGGTGGCAATGGAATTTGAATCTGGTACTTGTTACGGTCAACTCTAATTGTTTGTTAAAAATTAAGATTACAATAATTTCCAAAATAATCAAGAAATAACAATGAAACTCCTCATAATGCAATTATATATCAGAGGTGAACTCAAAACAATGAATGGCAGACTTACCCGACTCGCATTCCCTCCTCAATATCAGTAGGCGAAACGCGATCGCCTAATGCAACAACAAATTTTGCGATTTGCTTTACATTTATGATATACTTCGAATCTTCATTTTCTCCTGCTTGAATAATTTTCGTACAACGAGCAACCTGCGATCGTTTCATAAACTCTGTTAGGCTATCGCTGAGAATATTCAGATGAAATCAATTCATTTCTTGATTTAAACCTGCAGAGGCTGTTCTTCTTGCATTCGTTGTTTATCTGCAGGAATATCCCAGAGATTCGGCGGTGCGAGACCAGTATCCGATTCTTTGACACCTATTTGGATGAATGACACGTTATCTCAACTTTTTTTCTCAATTGCCTTGTATTCGAACAGACATATGAAATGTAATTACCTATTTTTTCATTTATCCTTTTCTGTATATCTTTGATATCGCTATCGGTTTTTTTTAACTCCTTTGCATATGGTCCTTGACCCTAAACAACAAAGACATTAATTTCTGGTATAGTAATCAGCACACAGGGTTCCACATATAAATAAACTTACGTATGTCTTTAGTAATGCAATATCATTTTCGTCGAGAGCTGTATTTCGGGAAATCTGTTAAGCAAAATGCTAATGCCAAATGATTCGGAAAAACGCTCACGTACCAATGATCTTTTCTTCTTCTTTATCATCGATTGACTTATCGTCTGTGTGATAAATGCATTTTTGGTAAAAAAAACTAATTTACAGGAAAATCTGTGGATAATTTTACGGCCAAGAATAATTCGCTTCGTTTCTTGACATCACCTACAGAGAAAGGATATTCTCAGGCAGCGATCTCTAAGTTTTTTCACTTACATTTTTCCCAATCTTCTTTTGGTGGCATTTCTACAAGTAGTTGTCAACTAGTTAGTGAACTAATCGATATATGATCGGGATTACGTACATACGTACGTTTCCAGTAACAAAAATGGTTAGTTCCAATAATTTTAGCATATTACGTATACTGTATTTATACAAGAACTTGTGATACTGTCGATCTAAATCACGTGGTAGACGCGTGAACGCGCCTAAAATTTGCGTTTCAAGTTTTAATCCTTCGGTGACCTCATATAATGGAACAAGACATAGCGCGAAAATTTGCCGAAGCGAATTCGCCATTTACTCTAAAACAAGTTTTAGAAGACAAAATAATTTCTTGCAATTTTATTGAATGGGTTTTACTAAGGTATTCATTCATTTTCGAAATTACTTGATATGCGTTACATACATATATTTATATATATTTTTTTTTAATCCTTTCTGGCATTGTGCTTTAATAGAATTGACCTCCGTTTAGGAACGTTTGATCCACAAACTAGTGGGACGAATGCTGAACTGAAATTTAACAAAAAGCTTGGAAGAACACAAAGTTTGTATTTTTACCAATCAACGGTTTCCAATATCAAAGATATTGCGGAAAATTTACTTTGTTCAACTAGGTCTGACGCAAAAATTATCACTGATTGGATTATGTAAATCAACTGAAACAGACTTGATAGAGGTAGGTTTATTATTTTGAATCTCTGTAAGATAATTAACAATTTGACTCACGGGTATATCCTTTAAAAATAAGGCGACTGCATCTCAAAATCGTTTATTTCATTTTTACACCAACTTATTTTCGATGTTGAAGGCTGCCCGTGCCATCAATGATAATGATCCCTACAAAATTTGTGATATGAGGTCAGCTAATTTACATGACTAACGAGAAGGTTTAAAAGGTTACAAGCTAATATATATATGTTTAATTTTTAGCAAAATGGACGATCTACATAAATCCTGTGCTTTAATGGATGGATTGACGTCAATTCCTAACGAAATGAACAAAATTGTTGATAAGGAATTCGAATTGTTCCCGAGAGACGTAACCTTAATGATAGGAAGCGTAAATGATCAGAACAAGTGTAGGTATGTCATGATCAGTATTTATTTGTTACATTTGATTTTTTAGAGTAATTATAGAAATTTGATTTTGACCTTTAGTAAGGTTAATAATAACAAAGTGCTTCAATCGTTAAAAGAAAGTGAAATACGAGTACTACAAATTTTGAAAGATGAACTACTTCGTATACAAGGACAAGTAAGTATTTCCTTGATTTTTAAGATTTATTAGGTTATGACTGATGTGATATGTATATTTCGTCAAGTATCAGCATACGGAAGAAACAAAGATAAGCCAGCATACTATTCACAAATTATCTCGAATTTCCGAAGAGCTTACATCGCAATTAGCAAAGTTTTCCAGAATTCATGACGTTGAAATAGAACCCTGGATTAAAAAGGATTCGATGAAATTAAATGAAAGAAATATTGCCCAAGGTAAGTAACCAGTTTTTCCGATTATTTTCAAATGAATTCATCATGCATACTCGATCGTGCTAAATCGTTATGTAATTTGTTGATTAGGATTAGGGTCACAAGCGCGTATGGTGTATAACAAATTGGATAAATTGCGCAAAGTAAATTAATATATTTTTTGTTGGATTCAATTAAATCACTCGATACAATAATCGTTATGTTAATTGATTAATTTATTTCTTAGATTCTGAAAGACCTTGAAACTATCCAGACTGTCCATACATCACGTAAAGACATCGCATCGTGCCTTCATGATATTATGAAAACACAAGCGTCTATGAGTGATTCCATCCAACCGAATGAAATTATAGTTAATAACCGGGGAGAAACTGGTTTAGAGGCAATCACAAGATTACAGAATATTGAAAAAATGTTAAGAGATGGTCTTCTAAGAAGAGAAAAAGAAGGGAACATAAAATTATAGTGGAACCATACCTATATTATATGGGCATATTTTAATGCCTCTAGAAAGTTTATTTATATCCACACCTACAATATTTCACGAGATAGCCCAAAAGATTAAATATCTTTCACATCAATAACCGGTAAACCAAACATCTTGGCATATTTTTTTAACTCCATGTCTTCAGTCACGAAAAATGTATTTTCAATATCCGACAACCGAAAATAATAAAGCCAGCAACTTAGCACCGGTCGATATTCTTGTGGTACATTGTCTACACTAAATTTTTCCATATCTTCCTTCCCTTCATCGTGTCCATCATATTCGATGCTTTCTGGTAAACTTTTTTCATCAAGGTATTTCTCTGCCGAAGCCCACTGAGGTAATTTTTCATCCACTTTCTGTGCGCGAATAAAGTGCTCAACAGGATTCTGCTGATGCCTTTTCTGAAATTGTAGATCCAAGTATCGAATGGCCTCTCGAGCTCTAGCATTTTCTTGGGCGCTTCCCTTTTTGATAAGGTCCAAGGAATCAATAACTTTAAAGCAGGACATTTAGAATCGTCATATTATTATTACCAATGCATTATGAAAACTAACGTAGAAGGCATAAACTATTACCATCTAAAGGAACAATCACATAACATTTTCCATCAACAACCCATTTTTTAACAGAATTTAAATGATTGAGAATTACACCAATATCAAAGACAACAGTGTTCTTGGAAGATGCAGTGAGGGAGTTTCGATTATCTTTTCGTTGTAGGGGTAAACCTCTCTTTTGCAAATTAGTTTCTAATGAATTCACTTGATCTTGTAACAATTGCTGTGCCATTAATTTCATTACTTTCTGACGTTCCTTTTTCTACGTAAAATGTAATAGCTTTTAATGAAGTCGAAACTTTCAAGAATAGACCACCGAAGACAAAATCAAAATACCTTTGTTTCTTCATCGATTAACGCGTATTGTCCAGTCGTTTCATTATAGATGAACATATCAAATTGCTAGTACACAGGGAATTAAATTATACATTGTGATTTGAGTCAATCACGCTATCAAAGTAGATCTCAAACCTCTTTTTTACCTTGAGTTCAGCCATTCGCTTTCCGAAAACGAACATTCTAGTCACCCTTACTCTCAGTGGATCAGCTTCCGATGTGAAGGTCATGTCTTGGTGTAGAACGCGCAAAGGGACTACTCCTAGAAATTCAATATCTTCATAAATGGACTTCCTAGATAATTCCGCGCTGTTAACATTCAACAAGGAAATTTTTGGATGGTTGAGAATGTCGGCTAGTGACCCAAAAAAATTATTCAAATTCTGTATGTGCAGACGATTGAAAGGTCTTGGGTGAATTAATCCTTACGATCATATAAAGAAAATATCTTGTCGTACCTTTAAAAACATCTGGAATATTATCTTATTTTCTTTTTCTACTGACTTTGCGTGGATGTACAACTGGGGCAACAACTCTGTCAACGTTCCCAAATACTGACACCACAAAGAAATAGCAGCCAAACACTCTAACACTACTGATCCTAGCCCATCGTCCACTTGATCCTCGACGGTCCATATCATACACATATTTTTCATAATTGGAACCAATAGACTAAAAGCCAACCCAATACTTAAGCTACGAAGCTCAGTGTTGCGATTTTGAGCTAGATATGAACATATGGTCTTTATTAGAACTACAAAAAAATGCACGTAACTTTGTACAACACTCACTTGATCCATTACGTAAATTCCAGACGGTGAAGATTATGATGAAAATAATCTTTTTAAGAATCACACCTAAGCTTCGAGTTATATCTATCCGGGAAGTTAAGAGAGATTCAAACATTACGATGGACTCCTCCGGGGAAATAATATATTTTTGCAAGCTAGCTCAAAAAAAAATGGTGAATTAGAAGGGCTCTAGGAATCTTTCATTTATTTTTTTTTTTAAAAAAAAATCATATCTCACCTATCAACGTCTTCCTCGAATAAATAACGATGTATTACCAAAAATCTCTTTATGAAACTATCGATATCCTGCCTATATCGCATATTTGTTCAAAAACGAGTTAAAATTTTTTGAGCAATCAAACATTTGATTATATTCAACTTACGTATCATTTACACTGAAGTCACTCAGGGGGATACGTTGGGCAAATTTTGTGTAAAATACTTTCAGATTGTCCACAGACTTGTTTGGGGGTTGCTTCGTAGCAAGGCTAAGACAAGATGGTTAAGTTTCGTATGAAATAAACAAGTGATTAATCATTATGAACCACTGATTTACCTGAAGCAGTACCAATAAACAACATCGATATCGTTGTCTCGAAGCGCAGAAAGAAGCGCAAGCTGGGCTTGTGCCTTTCCTATAAAGGAATGTAAATATCCTGAGTCAAAGGAAAAAAAATACGGAAAAGTACAATGTACCATTGTCGCAATGAACTCTGGCGGCCTTTGCATAAAACTGCCTCGAAAATTCCCAACGTCTGTCGTTAGTTTCATAAATCATTTCGCGGTATCGAGCAAAATCTCCGAGATGGATAAGACACCGTTGAATACATTCGGCTGAGAGCTCTTTCTTACGGAGTTTGGGCGCGTTCCGGGAAGCAGTGGGGATGCTGTTCCTAAAGATTTCTGTAGAAAGATGAAATTCAATGAAGAGAGTAAAACAGAAATTCCTATTTTAAATTTACCTATTCCAACCCGATCCAGATCAATATTTTCTCGAATTTTCAAATTATTCACAATGGTGTGATAAAACCCGGTTCCTAAATCAAGATAACGGCACAATTCTAAATATGCCGCTTCATACTCATTTGTCCTTTCGTTTTTGTTAATCTTTGTTCAAAAATAAAGTCAGAGTTAACAAAGGTCATTTAAGCTGTGTTTCGAAATTGAACGTGACACATACTCTGCGTAGCTTCTGTCTAAGCTCTTCGATGTGGCTATAAAAGACGTGATGCCAAAGTTTTTCTTCGATATTGTGTTCGTTAGAGAATTTAATATCGATCAAAAGAAGGTCTTCGTAGATATCTTTAAGACTATGAAGGCAGATTAGATTGTATAGATTGATATTTGATTAAAACTATTAATTAACACTTTATTTACCTATTTCGCAAAAATTCAGTATCTTCTTCAAACTCTGCTGAGCTCTCGGGGTTACTATTGAATTTACGTCTTTCCTGTTCTTGCTTCTTTAGTTCTCTTTCGAGATTGGAAGCCTCCCTGTTGTTAAATATTATTACTAAAAGCGAGTATTGTTTACTGGTAATCATACATATACACGGTCGATACACACGTTATCAATTCTTTCAGCCTTTTCCTGTCTTCGTTAACATTTGTTGACATTGTAAAGGCATCGATCCATTACTGCACCGAAGAAAGATTTACTATTGACGAATATTTTAATTTATCGGACTAAAAAATTTTAAGTTGTCTTTATAACTTCGTAGAGCAAGAGTGAAGGTTGAAAGGACTTCTTGACCGGAACATCCGCACCCTCCTTATTAGGAAAAACAATCAAAGATCTATTACGTATTTTCTTGATGCATATGCAGGAATCCCATCAAGTTTTTTTAATTAACATTTTTTATCCATCTATTTCTGAGTAAAACCATTAAAATTTATAATAAAAAGTTGATTATTATATATGATTATATAATATGTAGTATATTTCTATTTATATTCATAGATATCGAATACAGAATACTTGATTAATACAGTTAATATTAGCACTTATTTTTATTTTATTATTATAATTTTTAAAAAAATTTAATACTATTTAGCTTTATATGTATTGTTTTTAAAAAAATTTTGATATATTGTTTAAATAATTATAATAAATAGCTTCGTATTAACTTATTATATATTTTATATCTAAGAAATATTACTTTTTTTATATTTTATATTGTTTTATTTTTAGTTTTTTTAATTATTACTATGAAATTATAAAAATATTAGAATAATTAGAATAAAACATTAGCTTTATTATTTTATTATTTATTTTTATAATCTCTGAAGAATCAATAATATTATATGTAGTACTTTAATCTATATTTTTATTTTATTTATTTATCTTAAAAAAATTAACTATTTAAAGAAGATTTTTTTTTTAAAAAAAAAATAATTAAGTTGGTTAATTTTTCTTATATTTAAGCAAGTTTTTTTTATTAATTATAATATCTTATTTATGACTTCTTTAATATGAAAATATTGCAGTAATCAATTATTGTTTTTCTTAATTAATTATTTACATTATTTTGATCAATTATTGATTTGGTTTGTTTTTTTTTTGAAAAGAGCAAATGGCTATCATGCTTTATTATATTTATTAAGGAAACATGTATAGTTCCCATTGTCTTTATATAAGCTAAACTGGTAGGTTAGATGGTTTAAAACTAGTGATAGAATTTTTATCCTCTAAATAGGTCTTCTTAAAAAATATGTGATTTACTTTAAAAGTGACTAGCATATCTTTGGATACTAAAAAAGTAAATAGGTTAGCATTTAGCTGTTACAATATAATAGAGGATGTTTAATGTACCAAAAATTAAAGTAATTCAATAAAACCCATATTTAATACCATTCTACTATAAAATATATATATATATTGTTTGTTAAAATTTTATTATAAATAAATTTTAATATTTTATCAAATAGTTTTATAGTTATTTTCTTATAATATTTTTTCAAAATTTTACTTATGAAATTATTTATTATTTCTTTTAAGAATTTATTTTCTTTTTATAAATTATGTTTTATTTTTTTGTTATTATATTATTTATAATTTATAATATATAAGTTTTTTAATAAATACTTTAATTTAATAGTAATAATAAATTAAATTAATAATAAATAAAAAAAACTTTTTTTCACTTTCTCTTTTGCACTTGGAAATTTTTTTTTTAGGAAATTTTTGAGTTGTTTATTTTTTTACTTTTTTCTTTCTCTTTTCTATATTTTTTTATTCCCTTCTATTATTTTTTTTTCTCACTTTTCAAAATATTCTCTTTTTTTACTTTACTTCTCTTTACTTTACTTTTTTTCTATTTTCTTTTTTTGCCAAGCTAGGTTTTTCTTTTTTTTGAAGATTTTTCTTCTTAGATTTCTCTTTCATTTATAAAAACTGATTCATAATATCAAAACTTTTGATCAATTGACCCTTTTCTTTCAAGAGTCATATTAGAAATTGACAACTTCTCTTAAGATGTAAGCTTTAAAATTTTCTTTCTTATATAGCTCTACAGAAAAAGAATAAAGAGCTTACTCTTTTCAAAAGATTAATATAATCATTATTATCAAATTTGATATTGTTTACTTGCTAATGATTAAACTAAATACATCAAAAAAATCAATATATAGGGCTCCTAACGATACTACTTCGATACTACTTTGATACTTAAATTTACTATAAAAACATATGAGTAGGTCACAACCCATATACTAAATTTACTATAGATCAGTATCATTTTGATATCAGTTCGATACTTTTTTGGAGCCCTACCAATATATAACTATTATTATCTGAAGTTTCCAAAAAGTTATACTCTACAGTATATATGTTTTATTATTATTATAAAAGGAAATTTAATCAACAATACAATTTTGAATTAAATATGATTTTTAATTACTTACTAATTGTTACTTAGTAATACAAATATAATACAGTTTTTAAAAAATGTTTAAATTAAATACAAACACATGTATATTCCATAGTATCCAAAGCAATATGGCAGTTAATGCCAATGCAACCAATCTAGTTATAAGTATTATACTGGTGATCAGATAGTATAGTAGGATAATATATAAAAACTAAGAATTCTAGTTATCCCTATAATATGAGCTGGTGATAATTATAAAGTTTCTTATTTATCCCTTTAACAATGCAAATTTTGGTGTATAAGGTTAGATAACAATATCTATAAGAAACTTTAATTTCAATATATCTAACAACTCTTCTTAACAACTATCACTACATATCCAATACTTCTTTTCCATTTATCCAACCTTATATTTGTATTAAATCGTTCTCAAATATTTGAATAGTACAGCTATATGTATGAAGTTTTCTATAAAGAATAGTTATCTTTTTTCCTACTTGTCGCAGATATAGACAATTGTCACAGACTTGAATAACTTGTAACTTGTCACAATTCTAAAAGAGTAAAGAAGGCAAATACTAGGTAGTTGAATAAAAGACCAATCTTTATTGAATATCCTAATCAGAATAATAACTTTTGAACTATCTGAGCAAGTTATTCAGATAAAGTCTAAGATAAAATACATATTCTGCTTACTGTATATCAAGTTAAGGATGAGTCCCTAAACTATTTAGTATATAAAATTTTATAAATTAATTATGTTTCTTTTGAAGAAACATAATTATTTATTTATTACTTTAATAGGGACATAATTTAAAAAACACTTGGATCAAATAGTCTAAATTGTAAAAAACTTTTGTAAGTAGTTTTTTTTTTATCTTATATTTAAAAAAAAACTTTTTTAATAGTTAGAGCTATTTGAATTATATCCTTGTCTTTAATTTAGGGACCTATCTTTACATTAAGTCACATTTGAAAAGCAAGTATGCCAATCCTAGTCATAACTTAAAGACCAATCTATATATAGTGACTGCAATATCTTTATATAATTAAGTAATTAAAATTCTTTAAATAGTTAGATGTCATTTAAGGTATAATATAGATTTTAAAATTTATTTTTCTATCTTCTTGAGTAATGCTAAGGTAAAGAACTTAGATGAAGAGTCTATATTTGATAAGCTTTGCATTTAATTCTTTCTAACAAAGAGAGATGTATATCATACTATAAATTTATAAATCTTATACTGCAAATCTAAAAGTATAAATAAAAATAAAGTATAAGGACTGCTTGTTTCTTTTAAAAAAAAAGGTTATATTATAATAGATTAATAATAAAATATTTAATTTAATTAAGATAAATAACTTTTTTATTAAATTTTATAATTACTATTATTCTATTTATTAATTTTTCTAAAATTCTATTATTTTCTTTTATTAATTATATAAACTTGTTATTAATTATATTATTATTATTATATATTTATTTCATATTAATTTTATTTTTTATTACTTTAATATAATATTAGATCAATTATTAATTATATAATCAAAATTATATTATTTTAAAAAATATAATATAAACTTTAAGATTTTAATATATTATATAATAATTGTAAATATTCTTTATAAGTATTAATTATAAATATTTATATATTATTATATATTTTTATTTATTTATTTATTATTATTATTTTTTTTTTTAATTCTGCAATCAGGTTGGTGTCGTTTATTTATTAAATCATAAAGAACTATTACATGCAAAAGAATATATACAAAATACAAATTTCCCTGACCCAACTCACTTGTCTTTAGCTGAAGCCTCTAGATGCAATTTATGGGGGTAATATATTGTTCCCCTAAAGGATAGAATTAAGATCCTGAACTTCCAATAGGATCAGCACCTGCAGATCATCTCCACAGTCACAACCATAAATCCAAATTGTGTCACCTCCCTCTTGTAGAAACTATGCAAGGGGAAAAAGGAATAAAAAAAGAAATTTTTAACAAAGAGAAAAAAATAAAAGGCTATCATCTATTCTAATTATCATTAAAAAAGTTATCTTAGTGAATTTAAAATCCAAGCTCCTTATGGTTTTTCACTTCTTACCACTTGTGGCCAGTCAGACTATTTAATTTTCAATAGAGTAGTTGATGTTCAAGAATACTTAAGGGCACTTCCAGAAGAGTATTTCTTGAAACTTTATGCTTGAAGACTTCTAAT